TATCCCTCAATTATGCTAAACACCTGAGATAAATAACAACTATATCCTGTCTCAATGAATTCATTGAAACCATTCTCATAACAAGATTTGGCTTCTTTGACGCCTTCACTAAACACGCATCATGCTTTTCATTAAATTCATCATGATAGTGTACCCTGCAACACGTTCAATGTGTCGTTTGACTATTATGGAAATCTATAGTCAGGCCAATTAGAAAATACCATTAACTAATCTATTACAGGCTAAAAATAGAATAGTGTGGATCTACACTTAAACATTTACCGGGATACAGCGATCTCACTATAATAATACAACGATAATCATAAGATAGACTAACTAAATAATAAATAATAATAATATGGATATAGGGATAACAGAAAGTAATAATAACAGGAAAGTAATAATAACAATGTTAATTATATGATAAGGCTATTAAGTAACAGAAATAAGCTAATAATAAGAATAACAGGAATAATAGAAAAAAAAAAATCATTATGTGCTAGAACCTTCTACATGGTTGGGGCGCAGAAAAATTAAAAATTTTCAATAGTAACACCGGGCCTCACTCTTAAAAAAAAATAAATAAATTAAAATCAGCTTAACTTTAATATTTAATGTAATCATACGTTACATTACAGATACGCAAAGCAGGAAATTTAAAAATGATAATTTTTAAAGTTAGTCCAATATATAACAATAATCAAAGGTATATCACATTAAATCCAAATTATCAACTTCAATAAAAAATGTGACCAATAATTTCGCAATAAGATAAACTTGGTCATAGTTAACTAAATCGATTTTTAAATATCTGCTTAGTCAGGTTTATGAAAATGATTGACTACAATCACTAGCATTTACCCAAATTAATATTTATTTACTTTAAATACATTTGCATTTTAATTAAGTTACAATAATTTAAAATTTTAAGACATTATGTTAGTGCCAAATGCTTTGGAACTAGATACAATGCTGTGTTTATCCACCCATTGCACAAACTCTAGCATAACAAATGAAAAAGATCAGGCGCATGAATGGATATGTTTTTTTAGCTATAACTTAAAAAGTACAAGTATGCATGCGTATGTACGTATACAAAATATATATATATTAATATAATTATATTAAAAGAAATTTATTTATTTATCACCCAGAGTGAGATCCTACCACTTAGATTAACCAATAAATTTGCAATATCGGGTATAACAAAATTTTCTTACAAATTTTATG